GTTATTAGTTTAAGTATTTGCTATTGACTGTTCAAATGCGGAGTTTTGCTCATCGTGTGTGTGTGTGTGTGTGTGCGTACGTGCGAGAAAGAGAGGTCACAGTGGAGTCAGCTGTCTTAACTGTGGCTTGTGTACTGCAAACACATTTATCACTGTGTCTGTCATGCGACACTGTTCCCCTTTCAGGCTCTGTCTTTACATTTATTTTGAAAGATGAAGCTCGCGATTATGGTAAGGGGCGTTACATTTCCGACGAGTGCTTGCGGTGTTCGGCCAATCACAATGCACTGGGTCAGCTGGCCAATCAGAGAAGACTGCGCTTGTCGGAAGGAGGGACTTTGTTGAAAACAAAGCATTTGAGAGAGGCGGGGCATAGAGGACCTACAATAATGTACAGTATTTGAAAAAAAAATTTCAAAGTAATTTTCTAATTTTTTTTCAAATTTCAGTTTTTTTAACATTAAAGCATGTCAACATATTCTGTTACACCAAATACACAAAATAATGATCTTTAAAAAAGCATCATATGACCCCTTTAAAAACTCTATGAACATGAAGTTCCTAATATAAATCTCTAATCATTAATAAATGCTGTTTTATGCACACAGAAATTTCCAGAAGAAGTAGTGTCTGTTCAGATTTACAAAGCAATGTTAGTGTGACAAGCCAGCCCAGAAGGGTGAGTTACTCTGAAGTCTTCACTGTGTGTGTGTGTACAGTACAAGCATTTGTACGCATAATAACAGCATCAATGTTTGTTCCTTTCAGAAATGGACCGCAGAAGAAGACAGGAAGCTGAAAGCAGGTGTGAGGAAGTATGGGGAGGGCAAATGGAGAATGATCCTGAATGACTTTGAGTTTGACAACCGCACCGGTGTTAATCTGAAGGACAGATGGAGAATCCTGAAGAAAATAGAAGACTATTGAGCTGCCGGCGGCTTCTGCTTTTAGTATTTAAAGAGCTTTAGCGTTGAGGTTTTCAGTATTTAAGTTGTTTTCAGTCACTTTTTAAAAGTGTATTCCTCCTTTCTTTTATTTCGGTTAAGTTTACGTAATGCATTTATTCACACAAGTGTTTCAGAGTTCAGTGAATAATTCCATTGTTATGCATGTAATTTCACGAAATATGTTTGGAATTCAGGAGCGCCGTTTTGTAAATTAAAAGTAAAAACTATTTAGCAGAAATATCACTGCTGGAAAAACAGCTTTAAAATCTTTCCGTTGCTGTTTGTTTGAACTGTAAGACCAACATTTGTCCAGTAGAGAATGCAAGTGAGTTTGCAAGTTTTGTTTTTTTTTGCTTTCAATCTGTTCCTAGAGATTTTCACAGGGGGGGGAACTAATTTGAATCTACAACTGTAAAAACTAAAGAACTTTTAATAAATGTATGTGAAAGTGGGACATGTTCATTTGTGGATTTTAACAAGGGAGTGAAGAATCATCTTAGGTGGGTTTAAATATGTCAGTCAATTAATTAGGAAAAAAAGTAAAAGTTGCGTTAGTTATTTGAAAAAGTAACTCAGATATTCTCTTGTAAATTAAAAAGTAATGCGTTACTTTACTAGTTACTTGAAAAAAGTTTGAACTACAGCAACATCTTCTGACTTCTCTCAACATGGGGACAGGAGAGCTGTCAGTCAATTAATTAGGAAAAAAAGTAAAAGTTGCGTTAGTTATTTGAAAAAGTAACTCAGATATTTTCTTGTAAATTAAAAAGTAATGCGTTACTTTACTAGTTACTTGAAAAAAGTAATCTGATTACGTAACTCGCGTTACTTGTAATGCGTTACCCCCAACACTGGGTACGAGTAGCACTAGTGGTACTCAGGCTCCCTCGAGTGGTACGCAGAGGAATCACTAAATTAAATGTAAATTAATGTTAAAACCATAGACTGTATGGTTAAAACACAATACATTTTAATTTAATCTTTGAGTAAAGTTTTTATTTTTTCTTTCTTTTTTTTTACATTTAAGTACATTACAGTTTATTTAACTTTTAGGTACAACACATTTTCATTTATCATTATTTCAGTTTTTTATTTACCTGTTTGTAAGCACTGTGCCGTGTTAATGTGCAAACTGTATATTTACAATGTTCAACTGGCTGACAACAATAAATATTCTTATTAGGAATAAAACTGCCTAGCTTTTGAACTGTCAAGAGCTGTAGCTGAATAGTTAGGCCTACTACGCTACTGTATTTTAAGATTGGTCATTATGGTGGTACTTGGAGAGCCAAATATATTCTGAGGTGGTACTTGGTTTAAAAAGTTTGAGAACCGCTGGCTTAAAGTAATGAACTATTTGTTGAAATGAGTAAACAGGCTTCTCATCACAAATTCTCATCATGAACAGTGTCTTTGTGCTTGTTTAATCTACAGTGATACATACCCAGCATCCACTGGGGCCCCATACAAATCATGTGTTCTGCCTTTGCTGTACTCCATTGTTGTTATAAATGCTGCTCCTGGAATTAATCCAACACAATCCCTGTTTAGGTTCAAACAGCTAAGTGATCAAATTTAGCCCATCAAATAAAATAAAAAAACGTGTTAAAACTGTATAAATGTATTAAAAATTAATAATCAAGTAAACTTAAAAGTTCCTTTTTGTTTGACGCACTGTGTTTTTTCTAATCTCTGCTAGTGTAAGCAAGAAGGTAGGACATTTTAAAAGCAATACTGAAAGAGAAGTACACTTCGTTGTTTTGAATATGTACTTGTAGTACTTGTACTTCAAATCTTACAAAGTATATTTTTTAAAAACTGCTTGCAGATAGTATAATATTAATGTGATAAAAAGAGAGATTTCTTACTTGTACTTCTTCTGTACTTCTTTTGTCATGCTTCAACTTCATGCTTCAACTTACTTTGATGTGTTTACTAGCCTACCTGCTAAAGCACTGTGTTTTTTGATAGGCTACTATATGAATAAATTGGGTAACACTTTATTTTAAGGTGTCCATGTTACACGTTACATCTACTTATTATAATAACAATAAATTCTGCATAATTACATGCAAGTAACTCTAAGCCAAACACTAACCATACAGTAAGTACATGTAGTTAATTAATGTTTCTCACTACTTAAATGTATAATTACACTGTAATAAGGACATTTTAAAATAAAGTGTAACCATAAATTGCAACTTCATCATTACAAATGTATAATTACAAGTGCATTAAATACATGACACACAATTTTAATAAAAGTTGCTTTCAATTATATTTTAGTTTACCATAAATGCTTGGCAGTACATTCGGAAGCACACTTTAACCATTATACATAGACAATAGAATTATAAAATTACATTTGATTATGTACTTAAGTTGGTCAAAAACCAACCAAGTTCAGCAAATTGCATTTAATATAAATGTAAACTATAAAACATTTTCATTTCATTGTAAATAACATGCAATTGAATGTCTGAAACATTACATTCAGTTTGCACTTAAGTATTCTTTAAAAATATATTATTCTGTAGTAAGTACTGCGATTTTCACAAGAGCTCTTACAAATATGAATTTAAAAAAAAAATACAAATATGTTGTCTATGGAAAACTTTTAAATGATTACACTGTTGAACAGGCATTTGGGCCTAAAATATAGCCTATTTTGACTAAGATTCATACCTTGCACAGAAGCGCAAAACTGTCCCTGGTGGTCCTGATACTCCATGCATCCGGCCTGTTCCTCCAGCCTCGGACAGGCCTGTCCGCTGTTTTGGGGCAGTCTCTCAACGCTACGTCTCCGGACCCGGAATGAGGGCTGACAGGGTTGTGCGCACCCACTCCAATGACTCCACTCACTCACTACACACGGCTGAGCTAAAAACACAACCCACAGGTGAGAAACAGGTCCAAGATCAGCACGATCAACAGTTCAAACCAGTGGGGGCCCACTAGGCCCTAACAAACTTCCAAGGGATCCTCAAGATATGCAACAAGATATATCTTATTTTAATTCTGTCAACGATCCCTTTTTTTTTTTTTTGAAAAGCCAGGATTCTCCCAGTCTTGAAAAATCTATATTTTGGTGTACATTTTGGCTACATTTTAAAAATGTGGTTTCTGGACCTGGAAAAGTCATTTAAATTAATACAATCTTACTTTATACATTATAGATATATAACACATTTTATGACTATACATCTTTTTAGTTAGTATGTCAAGCTCTAAAATATTTTATTTGGTATTTTGAGAAAAAAATAAAAATAAATAAAATGTGGCCTACAAAACGTGTAAACAGTGGAAGACTTTGAGTCATAAAGGCTGAGAACCTCTGGTATATAAATATAATACTTGTCAAGTTGTGACATGTCAAACAACTTTTTTTAATTATTAGTGCTATAAAAAATTTAAATGACTCAGGCCTACATAACTTTTTGAATGGCACTACATTAATTACAAATTACACTACATTAATAAGTCAGTGCGGATTTGATAGCTCAGCGTAAAAACAGCCTGGCAGATCTGTATAGGATACATGACAGGACTGAATTCTGTTTTGCTCAATATTTTTGTATTTGACAGCTCGTGCATTGCTACAGTATGAATACTTTTATGCTGACTGCTTTTGTATGAAAGGAAGAAATATTATCCTAAAATATAAATTGCATTGGTTTTTGCACAAAAAAAATATATATATATATATGTATATATATATTGTATGTGTTGTATATGTATATATATATACATACAGGTGCATCTCAATAAATTAGATTGTCGTGGAAAAGTTCATTTCAGTAATTCAACTCAAATTGTGAAACTCATGTATATCACAATTGAAAGAACCAAAGACTTCAACTACTTCAGTCTGTGTGCATTGAATTTATTTAATACACGAGTTTCACAATTTGAGTTGAATTACTGAAATAAATGAACTTTTCCACGACATTCTAATTTATTGAGATGCACCTGTATATATATATATATATATATATATATATATATATATATATATATATATATATATATATATATATATATATATAGAGTACGTGTTCTGTGTATTGTATTGTTTGTGACTTAATATTGTAATTTTGTATTGTGTTGTGATGCAAATTAGCTAACTCTGGCACAACACTGTTGTTTTGCGCTGTCCCTGTACAAATAAACGAAATAAACTAAACTAAACTAAGCTCCACATGCCATTTAATCAATTAATGTCTTGTGAAGTGAAAAGCTGTGTGTTTTTGAGAAACAAATCTATCGTTAAGGCATTTTAACTTTAAACTGTTGCTTCTGGCCAAAATCCATAATCTATAATAACATTTCCTCCAGTGAAAAGTCTATCCTCTGTTGTCCTCTCACATTAAAATCCACTGGCATATTTGTTTAGAGCTGTTTTCGACTGTTTTCACCTATAACTGGGACTTGATCTGTGCATATTTGTCTCCTGATTCAGATGAGCCAACTTTTTCAATGGAGAAACCAATATTATGGATAGAGGACTCTGAATTTGTTTATTACAAACACTTCACAAGGTGTGGATTATTGTGACGTTTTTAATCAGCTGTTTGGACTCTCATTCTGACGGCACCCATTCACTGCAAAGGATTCATTGGTGAGGAAGAGTTGTAATGCTAAATTTATCCAAATCTGATTCAATGAGGAAACAAACTCTTGTACATCTTGGATGGCCTGGGGATGAGTACATTTTCAGCAGATATAAATTTTTTGGTGAACTATTCCTTTCACTGAAAGACTACATTACTACCACAGTACTATTTAAATGAACTACATTAACTGATGTATAAAATCTATCATTTTATATTTATACTATTTAAAATATGTACTAGAAAAAAAAATTGCCCAGTCATCTACCAAAATATTACTGTACCACGTACCTGGACACTCTGTTGGGTAGTCAAAGCAGCAGTCTTTAGTCTTTAAACACTTCTCATCACAATAACACATCCCATAGACACGGTCCATCCTCCAGTCAGTAGTGGCACAGGTGAAATCTGTACCTTCACAGCACCTTCCTGAGCATCCGCCTTCTGCAAACTGGTACATCCCAAAAAGAGTGGCCACCACCAGAAGAGCACTCCGGTCCAGTGACAACAACCCCATCATTTCCAAAAAGAACTCTAAAAAGTCCCCGTTACTGTCTTCGGTTCCTCTTGAAGTCAGTGCCACAGGTCTCATTCCTGGAGAGGAAATGAATCTGTCACAGGTGAAGTCATGCTTGTCGGAGGAATCCTTGTGACCTGGAATTCCTGTGACCAAACAACTCTTCTGTTTGCACAGAGAAAAACACAGCTTGGACTGAAAGAATGAGCTATTCTGTGGCAATCAGAGCAGAGGAATTGAATGTCCACCCCTGATGTGTCTGTAAAATCCGTCTGGAACGCTCTGCCCTTGTTCCAGCACACAAAAGTGAACGAGGTAGAGAAAAAGAGAGGTGGGGAAATGTTGTTTGAGTGAAGGGTGTGTGAAAGCTCTTTCTCTCTATACTGCTCTTTTGGCTGCTATGCCCTGTTGTACCACATCAAACTGATCTCAGATCAGTGCCCGGCCTGTTTCTGAAGCTTGTACAGCAGGGAAACAGTGGGAGGAATGTGAGCATTTGGCCTGGCTCCAGTCTACAGAGCCTGGGGCAGCACAAGGCCCGGTTGCTGTCACATCTTCATATCGACTCCACAAGAGCAGACAGTACATGAGCACATGCACCACTGCTATGCAAACTCCCACAGAGAGACTTCATGTTATGTTTGTTAATTAATGGTTGTGACGGTTCCCGTTGTTTGAATTTGGGCAAATTGTGATTTGCAGCTCCACCTACGACTCACCTCAATTTGCAGTCCATTGCCTACACCTGCGACTGTGGTTCAGACGCTCCTTTAAAGGAGATACTAGCAGAGACAAAGGAGTCTTGGACTTGGAATATTGGGCTGTGTTTGGCTTGATTTGTATTGTTTTGAGCACTTTTACATGGCTACAACAGCACATTACACCAGCAGCCAGGCACCCCGCTTTACACACTGATGACGCTGACATTTTCAGAAATATTTTCTTTTCTGTTGTGTTTTGTTCTATTATAGTGATTTACTTTTGAGCTTAATAAAGCCTTTTCCTATTGAGCATTATGCTTCCATGTGTCCCTCCTTTTGTTGCTTCCCTTCGAGCCAGGGGTTGTAACAATGGTGGTATGTCTGCGACATTTCCTCTTTGGAGTGATGGAAATGTGATTAGGTGAGAGAATTAGGTTACTGAATTAGTACTTATCTAATCAGTATACAACCATAACTCAATCAAAGTCAGGATCTACGTGTGGGTTGATTTACAACACACTGAAAAGTATAAACCAGTTTAAAAAGTCAAACCACAAGAAAAGTGGAACTACAAATTATATGTGTGTATATATATATATATATATACACCCATCCTCCAGTCAGTAGTGGCACAGGTGAAATCTGTACCTTCACAGCACCTTCCTGAGCATCCGCCTTCTGCAAACTGGTACATCCCAAAAAGAGTGGCCACCACCAGAAGAGCACTCCGGTCCAGTGACAACAACCCCATCATTTCCAAAAAGAACTCTAAAAAGTCCCCGTTACTGTCTTCGGTTCCTCTTGAAGTCAGTGCCACAGGTCTCATTCCTGGAGAGGAAATGAATCTGTCACAGGTGAAGTCATGCTTGTCGGAGGAATCCTTGTGACCTGGAATTCCTGTGACCAAACAACTCTTCTGTTTGCACAGAGAAAAACACAGCTTGGACTGAAAGAATGAGCTATTCTGTGGCAATCAGAGCAGAGGAATTGAATGTCCACCCCTGATGTGTCTGTAAAATCCGTCTGGAACGCTCTGCCCTTGTTCCAGCACACAAAAGTGAACGAGGTAGAGAAAAAGAGAGGTGGGGAAATGTTGTTTGAGTGAAGGGTGTGTGAAAGCTCTTTCTCTCTATACTGCTCTTTTGGCTGCTATGCCCTGTTGTACCACATCAAACTGATCTCAGATCAGTGCCCGGCCTGTTTCTGAAGCTTGTACAGCAGGGAAACAGTGGGAGGAATGTGAGCATTTGGCCTGGCTCCAGTCTACAGAGCCTGGGGCAGCACAAGGCCCGGTTGCTGTCACATCTTCATATCGACTCCACAAGAGCAGACAGTACATGAGCACATGCACCACTGCTATGCAAACTCCCACAGAGAGACTTCATGTTATGTTTGTTAATTAATGGTTGTGACGGTTCCCGTTGTTTGAATTTGGGCAAATTGTGATTTGCAGCTCCACCTACGACTCACCTCAATTTGCAGTCCATTGCCTACACCTGCGACTGTGGTTCAGACGCTCCTTTAAAGGAGATACTAGCAGAGACAAAGGAGTCTTGGACTTGGAATATTGGGCTGTGTTTGGCTTGATTTGTATTGTTTTGAGCACTTTTACATGGCTACAACAGCACATTACACCAGCAGCCAGGCACCCCGCTTTACACACTGATGACGCTGACATTTTCAGAAATATTTTCTTTTCTGTTGTGTTTTGTTCTATTATAGTGATTTACTTTTGAGCTTAATAAAGCCTTTTCCTATTGAGCATTATGCTTCCATGTGTCCCTCCTTTTGTTGCTTCCCTTCGAGCCAGGGGTTGTAACAATGGTGGTATGTCTGCGACATTTCCTCTTTGGAGTGATGGAAATGTGATTAGGTGAGAGAATTAGGTTACTGAATTAGTACTTATCTAATCAGTATACAACCATAACTCAATCAAAGTCAGGATCTACGTGTGGGTTGATTTACAACACACTGAAAAGTATAAACCAGTTTAAAAAGTCAAACCACAAGAAAAGTGGAACTACAAATTATATGTGTGTATATATATATATATATATACACTGAACAAAATTATAAACACAACACTTCCAACCCCCATTTTTCATGAGCTGAACTTAAAGATCTAAGACTTTTTCTATGTACACAAAAGGCCTATTTCTTATTTCATATATTTCATATAAAAGGCCACAATAAAAGGCCACTCTAAAATGTGCAGTTTTACTGTATTGTGGGGTCCGGGGGGTCCGAAAACCAGTCAGTATCTGGTGTGACCACCATTTGCCTCACGCAGTGCAACACATCTCCTTCGCATAGAGTTGATCAGGTTGTTGATTGTGGCCTGCGGAATGTTGGTCCACTCCTCTTCAATGGCTGTGCGAAGTTGCTGGATATTGGCAGGAAGTGGATGTTGATAGCATATTTTTTTGTCTATGCTTGGCTGAGACCGTTTTCCCTCCACAGGGAACTCGGCCTAATCATGAGAGGAATGAGGGGCTGCTCATGCACAGAGAGAAAGATCAAGGCAAAGACGGGATATTAGTGAGAATTAACCTCTAGGAGATCTGTTGTGACTGTCGGCAAACTCCATTGCTTTGATTGTTCGCCGCAACAAGGGAGCCAATTCAAGCAAGAGTAACACTCTTTAACATCATCATCAAACCACAGGAAATGACATCACCACTCAGTAGGCACAATATTGCTCCAAATAGAAGAATGGTGGGAACTGTTTCTGAGAGTAAATATATAAGACATTTGTATCCAGCTTGTCTAGCATCAGCCATCTGTTTTATTAAGAAATCAATTAGAATGTATTTCCTTTCAGTGCAGGTTTTCTTTTGGATACGTGAAAGTGCAGCAAATATAATTTTTGCATCAAATGTGACTGATTCCCCTGCTGTCCTTTGAAACTCACTCTGTAGAGTTTGAAAAGCAGGTCCATTCATTTGCATGTTTGAATGGACTTTCCTGCGTTTGGCGTGTTTAACTGCATTGTGTGTGTGTATAAGAGTGTTTATGGTGTATAAGTGAAGGAGAGTTATGTGGGGTCATGTCAGTGTTATGCATACCACAGCCTCCTGAGAAAACCGTCCTGGATACAAACTGCCAATGTGGATACCAAACCAATGCAAATAAACGCTAAATCAAACCAGCCCCATAGCACTGGTGCCAGAGCACCCCTAAATATGACAATCAATTTGCAAAGATTTAACGCATGCTAATACATTTTCATCTACACTACTGTTTAAAAGTTTGTGGGTTTTGAAAGAAGTCTATTATGCTCACCAAGGTTACGTTTATTAGATTAAAAATATAGTAAAAAGTCATTTTGTGAGATATTGTTACAACTTAAACAGTTTTCCGGGTCATTTCATGAAATCGGTGCCTTTTCCATTTTTTTTTTCATTTTTTCAAAAATTAAAGATAAAATACGTTTCATCAAGACTTTTTAAATATTCATGAAATGAAGACACCTTAAAATGACAAGAAATTGTATTGTGCCATCTCAGGCTATGTAATTTATTATTTTATGACTATTTTTCTACCTTATGTTTTGTTTTTTTGTTTTTTCAACCCTGTTACAGATACAAGCGTTATTATATACTATAGTTTAATTAGAACTATGTGATAGTTTTCACATATGAGCAGCATTTTTGTCCCTCTTTTCACAGGGATTGTTTTTGTTGGGATTGGTAAAATTTTGGATTTTTATTTATATATATACAGGTGCATCTCAATAAATTAGAATGTCGTGGAAAAGTTCACATTCAGATGGCCAAGAACCTAATTTTGGAGGGTGACCCCATGTCAATTAAAGGGGTCATATGACGTTGCTAAAAAATAACATTATTTGTGTATTTGGTGTAATGCAATGTGTTTATGCAGTATTACGCCTCTACCATACTGTGATGCCGTCTCCCGGAGCGACGAGACAACACCAATAAAGCCCATTATAAACGAGGCATTTGTTGCATCCAGTGGGGACATAATTACTGATTATAATGACTTATACTGTCTTTTTACGCATTGTGTTGCATTGCGTTGCGTAAACATAAAACCATGTTTGCATTTGTGATCGGAGAAACAACAAACAACAAGCGCTACTCTACGCTGCTCAAAACTCGCGTTTGAATCGTCAGTGGCAAATCCTTTAAATATGAAAACGTACTTACAGGCTGAGAGTCAGCATTATTTGTCAGAACACTGGCATTGTAGTCTACTCTCCAAGGAAACAGTCCTCGTCCTCCGTAAAATGTGTTGCACACATCTGAATATTTGGTTTGGACTGTTCTGGAACAGTGTTGTAAATACAACTTAGAAGCAGCCAGAGACTCAACGCACCTTCAAAATAATCCAACTGAGGTGCATAGACCAAAAAAGTTTCCCAAAGGTGAAAAGCTTTAAAAAAGTCTGCACACTCAAACATCAAAGCGAGATGAAAGCAATATAAGCAATTTACTGAGTAAAAACAAGGCAAATGTTTCGGTCACATGTTGACCATTTTCAATGCCAAGCTAATGGCAACTAAATACAACTTAACCACTGATTTCTAGTTGTGTCCTCTTTTGGAAGGCCAAACAAAGTAGTTTTTCTTTCACAACCAAACACAGCGTCTCCACGACATGACGGCGGTGGCAACAATACTACAGCCAGAATCAAAGTTACGCTTCTTTCTTTGCGTGAACATTTGGGCGGTGTTATGCAAATCTTCCCACATTGTGACGTAGACATGTGGGGGCGTGTTAGAATGAGGTGTTTTAGGAGGGCGTGGACGAGTCTTAACTTTTATAAAGAATATCTCTTTGGGTTTGAGACTTTAGTCTTTGCAACTTTAGGGATCTTATCTATTCACGAACAGCTTGTAACACTCTAAAGAGAAAGGAAAACTTGAAATTGCATCATATGACCCCTTTAAGAATATATATATATATACATTTTTTTTTTTTTTACAAGGGACATTAAAAAA